GAGGTGCCAAGCCATGAGGAGCATGGGGATTTTGTAGTTGATTCAAAACCTGATAGGAAAGCAGTGCAGGGACTCCAGGACAGGAGTAATGTGATAACTTTCATGTGACCTGATCAGGATTCTGAACATATTAGAGTTTGTTCAGTGTGAATTTAGCTACTCTAACAAGTAGGGCATTGTAGTAATTGAGTCTGGAAAAGACAAATATGTTCACCAGCTTTTCTGATATAGTCAAAGTCAACATAGCAACATAGTATGGCGATGTTTCTCAGATGAAAGAATGATGTTTTGTATAGTATTATGATAGTCAAAAGTCAAGCCAGGATTAAATACCATCCTTAGATTCTTCAGTTTTGATTGAAATTCAAGCACATTGCCGTCCACAGACAGCGTTCCTGCTTTGGCTTTATGAAGGTGATGGGAGGTGCCGAGTAGCATGACTTCAGTCTTCTCGCAGTTTAACTGAAGGAAGTTCTTGGAACATCCAGGCTTTTATATCATAGATGCAAATATGATATATATATATATGATATACACTGTATATTGGAGAGTTCAGAGACAGCTACGTCAGTTTCAGGTTTAGTATGGACATAGATATGAGTATCATCAGCATAGAAATGACAAGTCAGACTGACGTTAATATCTGACCTTGTGGAAACCTGAATAGCCTGGGGCCCAGCATTGCGCCTTGGGGAACACCAGACTTTACGAGCCCAACTTCAGAACTAAAACCCCCAAGAGAAACAGTGTCGACGATCGGTAAGATAAGAGTTAAACCATTTCAGAACATGTCGGCACCTCCAAACACAGTTTCAACATGTGAGAGTAAAGTGTCATTAACAGTGACTCAGGTCTAGGAGAATTAGCATAGAAAATGGGAATCATTTCTGCCATAAGAAAATCTTTATTTGCTTTAACAAGGCCAGTTTCTGTACTGTGTAATTACATGAATTCAGTAAGGCCCACACTGCTAACACGAAGAGCTCAATTAATTGTGGCAGCCAAACTGCTCCACTCCTGACATAAAGTTATTGTTTAAACAGCTTTATATTTGCCTCAATACACAGAATGAGCAGCCCACAGGCCCAGAACAGTAGTGTTTCTTTTGGTAGTATGCAGGCTGTATGCAGACCAGTCCTCGGCACTGTCCTGCTGTCTCTGCAGGTCGGCACCAACCTCACAGACCTGATGCTTCACAAGAGGAAGCTGACAGTGAGGGAGCTGGGGGGATGCATGGGGCCAATCTGGTCCAGCTACTACCGAGACTGCTCCTCTGTCATTGTGAGTGATGGTTTCACTTGGGGGCGGTATGGTGGTTTGCACTGCTACCTCGCAGTGCTGGGGCCCTGGGTTCTGTTCTGGAGCTCAGTGCTCTTGCATGGCTTTCCACTGGGTGCTAAAGACATCCTGGGAGGTTCATGGGCTTTCTAGCAGAATTGTCCCTGGTGTGTGCGCATCTGTGTTTGTGTCTGTATGAGCCCTGCTGACTGGCGTCCTGTCGAATGTGTATCCTGCCTTGGCCCCTTGCTCGCTGGGAAAGGCTGTTCCCAGCGACCCCGAATTGGAGGAAGCAGTTGGAAAAGGAATGGAATTGGGGAGGGGGCAGGATTCACATTCGCTGTATTTCTGCTCCTAATATCATTAGTTAACCACTAGAGTTCTGATTTCCTTGAATTCAGTATTTGATGCCCAGCGTGCGTCTCCAGGGGACAGCTCCTTATATTCATGTATGAATGGAAGCAGATGGTTCATGGTCTTGGGCGTGCAGCAACAACCTCCTCAGTGATGCCCTCCTGTCTCCTCTCAGTTCATGATTGACGCTGCCAACACGTGCCAGGTGTCTGCCTCCTGTGTGCAGCTGCTGTCTGTCCTCTCTGCAGAGCCCTTGCAAAACGCCGCTGTGCTCATCCTCTTCAACAAACTGTGAGTGCCCGTGTCCATATTGACCTAGCTGTCCTAGTTCACGTTTGTTTTTGTTTGCTTAGTTTGCTTTTTTCCTGCTGCCTTTGTTGTTTTTTTGTGTGCGTGTGTCACATGGTTCCAGGGATCTCCCCTGCCCCATGAGCCTGGTGGAGATGAAGTCCTTGTTCAGGTTGGACGACATCATCACCTGTGCCAGCCAGCCCATCACAGTGCAGGAGGTCAGTGCGCGCAGCGGGCGTGGCCTGCAGGACGTGCTGCAGTGGCTGGAGTCACATCGCCCATCGTGCTGAGGGACTGGCAGTACCTACACCGGCGAGCCAACACCAGCTCTCCCCTTCGCACCAGGACCCCTGAGAATTAGAAGCCCGGGCCACACTCACAATCACATTCATTCCCACTCAGCCAGGATATCCAACTCTTAACGACACAAGCTTTTGCCTCCTTTCACTGGACTACCTGCATGTATGGTGGGCAGCTGCGTCAACATGCATAGGCCTCAAAGGAACAAGTAATAGGTTCATTCCTCACACCCGAAGAAGGCTCCACAGCCGAAACGTGTTTTCTTTCACTTTTCAGCTTGGAATAAACCTTTTACTTGTTCCTTTGCTACCTGTGCGTATGTGTGTGTTTGTGCTGTTCCGAGCTCTCCTGCATTTCTTTCATTGGCAAGAGTAGTGTCCATCAGATTGTGAAGATGCAACAAAAAAATTTTAAATGCTGAAGAAGTGGGACTGGGAGTCCTGGAATCCTTGTGTGAAAATATGCCGATTGAGATGTGAACTCTGAAAGAGCAGACCCCCAAGCATGAACATGCAGCACTGACCAGCCAAGCTCTTATGGAGTTATATAGATATACTTTACTAATAACTGTTTCCTATGAGGCACGGAGACCTTCAGGCAGATTTCCTGACCTTGGACTGTTCAGAAGTTAACATTGTAAACTCATGAAGTAATTTAGTCAGTTTTTCCTAGGGGAATACTCTGAACCGCTTGTGTTTTGCCATGTTTTTTATGGTTTTATTGTGCTTTTCTAGCCTTTACAAACCTTTTTATAAAGTAGAGACCGGTATTTGTTACCAGCTGGTGTTTTTATTATATTTAAAAATAGTATTGTAATAATATCTCAGCACTAAACCCCTGTCAATGCCAATGCCAGTGTGAACTCAAGAGATGCAACGTAAAGAGAGGCCAGGTAAGGAGCTGTGCCAAAAAAGCCACTGAATTAATTCAAATTGTATTTATTTGTTCAATCATAAACTTTTATACATATACTTTTAGATTTAGGAACGTGTTTTCAGGGAACACATTCTTAATTTCACATGACCAATGTTTCTGTTACAGTGTTGCACTGAATCCCTCACTGTACTGGGCAGTTTGGGACCTGAAAAGAACAAATTGTTATGTTCCTATTACTGTGCTTTCTCTTCATATACAGTAGGTGTGTACAGACCGTCGTCGGCCTAGCAGTTCCAGCTTGTTACAATCTTAACATGATTCTGTTGGCTTGTTAATTTTGCAGTTTTAGTGTCAAGGCAATGCAGCACAAGTGTGGAAACCTACAGCATTCAGATACATGTCATTAGCAGCATTTCTGGGCTGCTGCCTCCTCCCAGACTTCACTGGGAACAGGACAGAGCGGACAGGTGGAGGCTGTAGCGGGACTGGGACTCGGTCCCAGTGTGATTTAGCGAGGCTGAGGCGTGCCAGGACAGCAGGGTGAGATCATGAACACAGACGGCGAGCCTGCAGTCCCAGTCCTGAGAGCAGAAGAGGCTCTCAGGAGCTGCTCTCGTCACAATTCATGGGCAGCAGGAGGGGGATTATCTGCAGCAGGGGAGACGATGTTGCAATAGAAAAAACAGGCACTCACACCCGTGAGTACACATTAGCAATCATGTTCATCACATTTCAGCACTCTTTTCAGGTTTGTTCCTGTTCTGCCGGTGAAATGCGAATGCCCCTGACACACGTGCACCTGGTGCCAGGTTAAGGCAAGTGTTCGGCTGTGGTAGTGCGCTGCCCATGCTGGAAAGTGGGCACAGTGAGGGGTGGCACAGCATCGGATCTGGGTTACAAAATCAAAGCTGCGTTTGAGAAAGAAAGGAAAACGAAAACGGAAAAAGAAAATCAACTCTCAAAAACCATCCTGTCCCGGCCGGAGGACTCGTCCCAGTCAGGCTGGGCGTGGTGGAGCTCCTGTGTGTCCGTGTTCACATGAAGGGGTTCGGGCTGAGCTGGTCAGGCTGTAGGCTGGGGGGCGCGGCGGAGCTCTTGCGTGTTCCTGTTCACATGAAGGGGTTCTGGCTAAGCTGGTCAGGCTGTAGGCTGGGGGGCGCGGCGGAGCTCTTGCGTGTTCCTGTTCACATGAAGGGGTTCTGGCTAAGCTGGTCAGGCTGTAGGCTGGGGGGCGCGGCGGAGCTCTTGCGTGTTCCTGTTCACATGAAGGGGTTCTGGCTGAGCTGGTCGGGCTGTAGGCTGAGGGGCGTGGCGGAGCTGAGGGGCAGCAGGGGCTGGGGCAGGGTGCTGGGCAGATCCAGGAGTGCCGCGGGGCTGGTGAAGGCAGGGGCGCCCGAGGTGGGCGGCTGCGTGAGGGAGGAGGGCAGGGTGGCCCCTGCTCGGCTGCTCAGGGGCAGAGGGAGGGAGGCGCTGTAGGGCAGAGGGCCTGGCTGGGGCGACCCCGAGCTGGGGCGCATCTGGTTGAGGGTGAGGCGTGGCTGCTCACTTTGGAAAGGGTTGGTGGGAGATGGAGCACTGAGTACTGAAAAGAGAGGGAGGTAAAGAAGAGGAGTCAAGACGGAGAGAGTGTGAAGGAGACGAAAAAGAACAAGGGAAGAATGGAGAGAAAGGGGGGCAGGGAGAGGAAGGAGAGAAAATAACTCCGTTAGTTACTTAGCACTGTAACCACAGGGCTGTTCTCTGCTCTTATCTACCAATATAGACAGCAGCTGTACCTCCCTGCAGCTCACAGCTGGCAGCCCACAGCTGAGGTGTTAGTGGGGCCTGTAGGGAGCGCCCAGCAGTCTGTGTGGGTCCTAATGCTGGAGTGTAGTGATGCGGACACTGTACTGTAAAAAGGCGCCGTCCTTCGGATGAGATGTAAAACCAAGGTCCTGACTCTCTGTGGTCATTAAGTATTCCAGGGCATTTCTCTAAAAGAATAGAAATGTAACCCCGGCGCCCTGGCCAAATATCCCCCCAGCAGTTCTCCCCTCACCGAGAGCCCCCCCTCCTCGCTCCGCCTGCGCCTCCCACCCTTACCACTGTGACCTCCACCCTCTCACCTGACAGGAAGGGGTTCCTGTTCTTAGCGGGGGGGTTGGGAGGGATCAGCGAGTCCAGGTTGACGAGGGAAGCAGCTGTCGGCCCCAGGAAGGCCTCGGGGGTGCGGCAGGCGCGGGGGCTGGGGTTCCCCAGGGTTTCCCCGAGACTCGTCAGGTCAAAGGACTCGGGGCTGCACCCCCGCCCGTTCATCTGGGTGCTGGGCAGGGGCTCCCCAAACAGGTCAATTTCTGAGCGGTGCAGGAGAGGGCGAGAGGAGAGAGGGGGAGAGTGAGCATCGCAGCCACTGTCAAAACCACTGGGCTGCTCGTCTTAAAAAGTGTCCAAACTATTTTTACTTTGGTCCTCCTCCTTACCTTTACTGATGGTGAGAAAAGGCAAAGCATTTTTACCTTTCATGAACAAATAATACTGTTGTCAGGAAGAATGAGCTCCTGCTAATGAAATCACTTGGGATCTTCAGCGTTAAGTGGAACAAAATCTCCATGGATACGGAGCACCAAAGCACATTTGGTTTTTCGTGGGTGAATTTATCATTGCACACATCTTGCATGTTTATCATTTTGCCAGAAGCTTTGCAGTGACAGAGTCACATTGTTCATGTGTCTGCATCCAGAAGTCAAATCAAACTGAGTCCCTCGAGTTTGACTTTCTGTAGGGCTGCATTACTGAACTGCCAATATACAAATCCCATTTCAGAATCTCCTGCTGCATTAGTCCAGTGGCAGCAACCATCCTGCACAGACAGCTTTTCACATCAGGCATCAGTTACTTATGATTAGAATTTCATTCCGATGGATGAAAAAATGAAAAGTCAGATAGGTAGAGTACACAGATGAGACATACCGGTTATTTAGCTCCTTGCATCTGCTATCCTATAGGAATTTCTGATATGCACATACTAAAAAAATGCATTCGCACCTGCTTTAACAATTTTAATGATCAGAAATATCAGGGGTGCCTGAGCTCACACTGCACCCAGGGAGCTGGTGCCTGTGAGAGAGCAACAGTGTCAAAGACTGAGGGGCAGAGCAGAGAGTCTTTCTCTGCAGGGTTGTATCGCCAGTTTGCAGTAATACTGTAAATGTTCAGACTGGGCCTGGTTCTGTGGTTCCCTGTCTGCTCTCGGGACGGGGGCCCACCTGCTGTGCTGCCGGACTGGGCAGAGGAGAGTGTTTCCAGTCCACTGCGTTCCACAGGACCCTCCCCCAGCCTGCAGAAGGGGTCTGAGCCGGAGGCACCTGGGCGGAGAGCAGATCAGAGTTGCAGAAGCGCGGGCAGAAGGGAGCTTTGGAGCACAGTCTGCACCAACATGTCTTTTAACACGTGTGTTGCTGCAGCATTTACAGTCCAAAAAAACAGCACACTGGCATGAAGAAACAAAATACAAACAAGCATCAATGCAAGGGTTTGAACTGCAATCACCCTCCTAAATTAGATAGCTGTCCAATGATAAAACTGCATTCCTGTCTTGGCAAACTCATGCTGATGGTGCAGTCCAAGAGCCATGAAAGCTGAGCAGTGAGAAGCCAGTCCCATTCAAGGCTCTGTGAAGGAGTGTATGAACCACCCCAGAGCAGCACTGCCGAGATCAGCCGGAGCTCACTGCAAGGCCTCCTGGGCTCAACGATGGGCTGACAGTCGCTCTAGAGAGGGAAGCTGTTGTCTTGTACCTGTGTGGTGAGCAGGGGAGTCCCAGGCTTGGGCAGGTGAAGAGCTAGGGCCCCTTAATGTTGGCTCCCAGGGGTCTGATTGGGTCAGCTTGGACCCCCAGGGCTGGGAGGGGGCACTGGACGCAGGGGTTGGTGACCATGGGCTGACTGTCACTGGGCTACTGGAATGAGCACCAGCTGCAAAAAAGACAGGAGGAAAAGCGGGATATTACTCTTCTAGAGTCTCCTGAAATTCCTGTCGTGTCCACTAGAGGGAAGCCCATCACCGCTTCAGTAGTGTGCTTTGTTCTCTGTAAGATTTTAAGTAAATGTATAACTGTAAGGAGGACATTTGGCCATCTATCTTGTTAGGCTGCTAGTAAGAGTCACTGTTCGAGCAACCTGGCTGCATAATCTGTTCCCACTGATTATCCCACTGTAATTAGTAAACACTTTCCTCCTTCCTCCTGTTCCAGCTCTGCAGAAGTCCGGGTACCCCGATTGTGTGTGAGCTCTGGTCTCAGTGTGGCCCCCGATTGTGTGTGAGCTCTGGTCTTAGATCGGCCCCCGATTGTCTGTGAGCTCTGGTCTAAGATCGGCCCCCGATTGTGTGTGAGCTCCGGTCTCAGTGC